AAATAGCCAGGCATTGTGGCAGGCCTCTGTAGTCCCAGCTACTCGGGAGGCTGAGACAAGAGAATCACTTGAACCCAAGAGTTTGAGGTGATACCACAGCACTCTACCAAGAGCAACAAAATGAAATTCTGTCTCAAAAAAATAAAAAAATAGGCTCAGGGCCTGTAGCTCAGTGAGTAGGACACCAGCCACATACACCAAAGCAGGCAGATTTGAGCCCAGCCCTGGCCTACTAAACAACAATGACATCTGCAACCAAAAAATATCCAGGTGTTGTGGCAGGTGCCAGCCATGCAGGAGACTGAGGCAAGAGAATCTCTTAAGCCTAAGAGTTTGAGGTTGCTGTGAGTTGTGATGCTATGGTACTCTACCAAGGACCACATAGTAAGACTCTGTCTCATAAATAAATGAAAAAATAATAAAAATAATTTTTTAAAAAGAAATTGTTGGGCGGTGCCCATAGGTCAGTGGGAAGGGTGCTGGCCATATACACTGAGGCTGGTGGGTTTGAATGCACCCTGGGCCAGCTAAAAAACAACAACAACATCTGCAACAGAAAAAATAGCCAGGCATTGTGGCTGGTGCCTGTAGTCCCAGCTACTTAGGAGGCTGAGGCAAGAGAATCACTTAAACCAAAGAGTATGAGATTGCTGTGAGCTGGGACGCCACAGCACTCTACCCAGGGCGTTAGCTTGAGACTCTGTCTCAAAAAAAAAAAAGAAAGAAATTGGGTGGTGCCTGTGGCTTAAGGCATGGAGCACCAGCCCCATATGCTGGAGGTGGAGGGTTCAAACCCAGCCCCGGCCAAAAGCTGCAAAAAAAAAAACCAAAAAGAAATTGTATATACAGTTGATCTAAAATATAATGATTTGATTAGGAATTTAGGCAGAATAAATTTTCTTGGGTAATGCAGAAATTTCTAGTGACAAGTTAATGGGACTTTTACATGTTTCATGACAGTGATAATGGACGTGATACAGGGGACTTTCCATGCTTCACCTTCCAAAGGCACTGAAGTTCAGTCCTTGCTGTGCCTCTCTCAGGGCCCTCTGCAGGGCTGCTTTGTCCCACGAGCTCCCACCACGCATAAGGGGAAGTGTAGTGGAGTCCTTGCTCTTTTTTTGTTGGTTTGTTTTTTTGAGACAGAGCCTCAAGCTGTCCCCCTGGGTAGAGTGCCATGGCATCAAGCTCACAGCAACCTCCAACTCCTGGGCTCAAGCGAGTCTCCTGCCTCAGCCTCCCAAGTAGCTGGGACCACAGGTGCCCGGCTATTTTGCAGCCGTCATTGTTTTTTGGCAGGCCCAGGCTGGATTCGAACCTGCCACCTTGGGTGTACGTGGCTGGCGCCTTAGCCACTTGAGCCACAGGTGCTGAGCCGGAGTCCTTGCTCTTTCCACCCACTTTATTCTTCTAATTTTTATAGAACTGGTTAGTACTGCTGAAAAACCACGACTAAAGGAAGGCCTTCTTCATGAACAAGACCCACTTGCTCAGTTCGGAACACAGAAAGAACCAGCAAGACAGCAGATTCATCGGATGTTCCTCTTACGAGTGAAGCTCATGCATTTTGTGAACAGCTTGCACAACTACATCATGACCAGGGTTTGTGTCTGCTTGTCTGTCTCAGTTCCATCACCTTATTTATACGGTTATTCATAGAGAATTACTTGTTTTTATAAATACAGAGGAGTCCACAAAATACTTACATATTGTGAAAATGGACATATGGAGAAAATTTTTTTTTTGTTTTTTTGAGACAGAGTCTCACTGTGTCGCCCTCGGTAGAGTGCCATGGTGACACAGCTCACAGGAACCTCAAACTCTTGGGCTTAAGTGATCCTCTTGCCTCAGCCTCCCAAGTAGCTGGGACTACAGGCACCTGTCACAACACCGGCTATTTTTTTGTTGTAGTTGTTATTGTTTGGCAGGCCCAGGCTGGATTTGAACCCACCAGTTCCAGGCTGGCACCCTAGCTGCTGAGCTATAGGCACCGAGCTAGAAAAATGTTTTTTTATTTTTATTTTATTTTTATTTATTTATTTATTTGAGACAGAGTCTCACTTCGTCACCCTCATAGAGTACTGTAGCATCACAGCTCACAGAAACCTTAGGTGCTTGGGCTCAAGCATTTCTCTATCTTCAGCCTCCCAAGTAGCTGGGACTACAGGCACCCACCACAGCACCTGGCTGTTTTTAGAGACTTGCTATGGCTCAGATTGATCTCGAACCTGTGACCTCAGACAGTCCATCCGCCTTGGCCTCCCAGAGTGCCAGGATTACAGGCATGAGCTACCACACTTCGGCCTAAAAATGTTTTTTTGTTTTGTTTTTTTAAGACAGTCTCCCTGTGTTGCCCTCGGTAGAGTGCTGTGACATCATAACTCACAGCAACCTCCAACTAAAGTGATTCTCTTGGCTCAGCCTCCCAACTAGCTGGGACTACAGGCGCCCACCATAGCTCCCAGCTATTTTTTGTTGCAGTTGTCATTGTTGTTTTTAGCTGGCCTGGGCCGGGTTCGAACCTGCCAGGCTTGGTGTATATGGCTGGTGCTGTAATCACTGTGCTATGGCTGCCGAGCCTGAAAATGTTTTTTTGGTTTTTGGGGTTTTTTGAACAAAAATATGGAATGCTTCATGAACTTGCATGTGATTCTTGTGCAGGGGCCATACTAATCTCTGTATCGTCGCAATTTTAGTAAATGTGCTGCCAAAGCAAGCACCTGAAAATGTTTTTTTAAACATACCAGAATATGTGTACCTAGAGACAGCTGCTCCTCTCCAGCAGCGCTCTGAGGTACAGCTGCAGCTCCCATTTTGGGATTGCCTTCAGAGCTTGCTACTTAGTGTTTTAAATTTCATCAGTGGTGACAGCTGTCCCTGGAAAATGACTTCAATATTTGATAACAACCAAGATTCTCAGGCTAGTGTGTGGGGTAGGGAGGAAGAAGCCACCAGGTTATATGCTTCTTTCTTACGAATAAGAAGTAATTCACTGCAAAATAAATGAAACTGCTTTTCTTTGTACATGTTAAAAGTGGTTCTAGAGGAAGCTCTGAAAGAGGAGTTCAGATATTTGAGTAGGAATAGTATTATTAGAGAGACAGTACTGATTTACAGTTTAAAGTTTTGAAAACTCCTCATTTATACCCATTCTAGGGTCTGAGTTCTGTGACCCATCTTGTTTGAATGAAGTGAGCCTCCACAGTCTGCATGTTGGACACAAAGGGTCTGGCGGGGGTGCTCTGTGCTTGTCCTGTCTGTATTACTGGACTTCTCAGGGCTGGCTTTAACGCCTTTAGTTGTTAAGAGTAAATGGCAGGAATTTAAGTTTGTTCCCAGTTTTGTTTTGTTTTGTTTTTTGGAGACAGACTCTCAAGCTGTCACCCTGGGTAGTGTGCTGTGGCATCGTAGCTCACAGCAACCTCAAACTCTTCAGCTCAAGTGATCCTCTTGCCTCCATTTTTCTATTTTTAGTAGAGACAGGGTCTTGCTCAGACTGGTCTCAAACTCATGACCTCAAGCAATCCACCCGCCTCAGCCTCTCAGAGTGCCAGGATTATAGGCCTGAACCCCCATGCCCAGGCTAGTTTTTTGTTTGTTTGGTTTTTTTTTTCACAGCAACCTCCAACCCCTGGGCATAGGTGATTCTCTTGCCTAAGCCTCCTGAGTAGCTGGGACTACAAGCGCTGCCAGAAAGCCCAGATATTTTTTTTGGTTGCAGTTTGGCCGGGGCCAGGTTTAAACCTGCCACCCTCGGTATATGGGGCTGGTGCCCTACCCACTGAGCCACAGGCACCACCCTAGTTTTTTGTTTTTTATTTGAAGCACACCTGTTCTCCTTGTAGAGTAAGAACAATATATGAAAAATGGAACATATAAGTGTATTGTAAATATTTGTCTTATAAAAATAATACTTATATTTATGGGGTGGTGCCTGTGGCTCAGTGGATAGGGTGTTGGCACCATATACCAAGGGTGGTGGGGTAGATCTCGGCTCCAGCCAAACTGCAACAAAAAAATAGCCAGGTGTTGTGGTAGGCACCTATGGTCCCAGCTACTTGGGAGGCTGAGGCAAGAGAATCACCTAAGTCCAGGTGTTGGAGGTTGCTGTGAGCTGTGACATCACAGCACTCTACCAAGGGTAACAAAGTAAAAAAAATAATAATAATCATAATACTTAGATTTATAACACATTTTCCTGATAATTTTTTTTTTTTTTTTTTTTTGAGACAGAGCCTCAAGCTGTCCCCCTGGGCAGAGTGCCGTGGCATCACAGCTCACAGCAACCTCCAACTCCTGGGCTCAAGCGAGTTTCCTGCCTCCGCCTCCCAAGTAGCTGGGACCACAGGCGCCCGCCACAACGCCCGGCTATTTTTTGGTTGCAGCCGTCATTGTTGTTTGGCGGGTCCGGGCTGGGGATTCAAACCCGCCACCTTAGGTGTACGTGGCTGGCGCCTTAGCCGGTTGAGCTATAGGCGCCGAGCCCTGATAATTTTTTTTAATTGGTGCATCTTCTGTACATTTTGATGTACTTTTTTTTCTTTTTTACTTCTTCCTTTTTTTAAATTAAATCATAACTGTGTACATTGATACATTTATGGAGTTCAGTGTACTGATTTGCTATACAATGTGAAATGCTTACATCAAACTAACATCACCACCACCTCGCTTACTTATTTGTTGTGTAAGACAATTATACTCTTTTATTAATAGTTTTGAAATGTGCCATTGCATTATGCACGTTAGGTGAGGTCCCACCAAATGCCCTCCCTTCTCCTATCCTCCCCTTCCCTCTCCCCTCCCCTTCCTTTCCTGCCAGGAAATCTGTTAATCTACAGTTTGACATTCATTCCCTGTGCAAGTAGGTGTCCATGGGTCTAGCCCCACCATTCTCATAGGATTAGAATGTATCCAGTCAGCCTCCAGAGAATGGTACTCTATGAAACTTTACAAACGTGTTTACTGAAGGGAGAGTTTGAGAGAAATAGAACTTGGCAAACGTGTTGTGTGAGGCACACGGTCCTCAGCGAAGTCTCCTGATTAAGCTTTTCATCTTTCTCTTTGAAGATTCTACATAGTACAGGGCTGGAGTTTCAACATCAAGTTGAGGAAGCCAAGGATTTAGATCAGTTGATTAAAATTCACTACAGGTATTTGTCAACCATCCATGATCGATGTCTGCTGAGAGAAAAGGTACGTGAGATATCCTGCAGATGTGGCCACCAACCAGGATGGGAACTGGGCATGTGGGGCTGTCTGTATGCTTTGGAATTTTGTGATTGTGAAACTTCTGTCCTGAAAAATACTCTTTAAGGAAGGACTAGGTCAAACGAGGTTACAGATGATTGCCTTAGTGCTGGAGATTACATCTAAGAGAGATGTGAGAACAGCATTTCAACAGCCAATAGTCTACATCACCTTTGAGTTCAGTTGGAAAGTTGTGTCTGCAGTTGTAGGGTGATGGTGTATCCAGCTCAGTGTGGATATAGGGAACTAAATAATATCACAGCCATTGGAATTACTTATCCCAGTTTCATTGTTGAGTTTAAATGGCCATTCCAGGAAAAAGCTAACTTGCTGTGTTGGTTCAACTCTTATTGTTAATACCATATTGTGTGCACAGTAAATGCACCGACCCAACCCAGGTGGTCTTGGTTCATGGCCCAGCACCCTTCCTTGTACACACAGAAGGTAGTCACTGTGCTCATGTACTTTTTCAGTGACTCATTTAAATTAGGTAAAGTGTTGGTGTTCATGTCCAAACTCAGTTACAGCATCTGTGTTCTGTCTGTGACTTTGGTCCACAGGTCAGCTTTGTAAAAGAAGCTATCATGAAAGTGTTAAACTTGGCTCTCATGTTTGCAGATGGTTGGCAGGCAGGCCTGGGGGCTTGGGGGTAAGTATATAGCTTGAGAAGCATCTGTGTTGTGGGACTATTTTAGCTTCTCTTTTAACTGGCTCCATTCGAGGAGCCTTGTTGTCATCTTGACAATACATCATAGCCACTATATTTTTAAGAAGAATTAAATGTGTTCACTGATAGTAGATAGCGTCAGCAATCCCAGGTACTTGGGAGGCTAAGGCAGGAGGATCACTTGAGCCCAGGAGTTTGAGACTAGCCTGGACAGCATAGTGAGACTCCACTCAAAAAAATATTGTGCAATTATTTTATGAGAGATAAAACAAGAACAGTCTTATATCTTTTAATTAGGATAAGCAAATATTCTTAGACTATATTGTGTCTGCCGCCCACTCACACTTGTGGGATTTTCTTTTTTTTTCTTAAGTCTCACTCTGTCATCCTGGGTAGGGTGCTGTGGCCTCATCACAGCTCACAGCAACCTCAAATTCTTGGGCTCAAGCAATCCCCTAGACTCAGCCTCCTGATTAGCCAGGGCTATAGGCACCCACCACTGTCAGAGTCCTGCTCCGGGAGCAGGGTCCACTAAAACCTGTGGAAACTGGCAGTGACCTACTGAAGAAATATAGAGTTAGAAACAACAGTAAAAAAAAAAAGACATGAGACACAGTAGAATTAAAGGTGGGAGCTCAGGGGACCATTGTCCATTTGTGGGATTGTGGCAATGGCACTGTTTGCTAAACTCTACTTTAATTGAAGTCTCTTTGCCCAGAGGGTAAGGTGAGGGAGTGAACAAAGATGCCAGCACGTGCTCTGATTGAGCATATCCGCTCCTATTGTTGTTATTTTTTTAAGATAGTTTTATTATTTATTTATTTATTTTGAGACAGCGTGAGACTTGGTAGAGTGCTATGGCATCACAGCTCACAGCAACCTCCAACTCTTGGGCTTAAGCGATTCTCTTGCCTCAGCCTCCTGAGTAGCTGGGACCACAGGCACCCACCACAATGCCCGACTCTCTTTTGTTACAGTTGTCATTGCTATTTTAGGTGGCCCGGACACAGTTCAAACCTGCCACCCTGGGTATATGGGGCTGGTGCCCTACCCACTGAGCCACATGCACCACTCCTATTGTTGTTATTAACCTTAAGGGTAGCCTTGAGAAATCTGAAATCTGAGCCTTGTATTGGGAGAGTCTCCTGCTTGAGATCACACACACAGATTTCTAGGGAGGTGTTAAACTCCGCTATTTCCCAGGGAATAAAATGCCACCAGCATTAATCTCCTGTGAGGAATCTGTGGGAAGGAGAAATTTTCCTCCCATCACCACCACAGAGGATCTTCCTCTGCAATAAGGGATATAAGCTCTTCTGCCGTATCACAGGGCTCAAGCTACTCCCTTGATCTCTGCCCCAGGCAAATGCAAATCTCATCTCCAGCTTGGAGCCTGTAGCTCAGTGGCTAGGGTGCCAGCCACATACAGCAGAGCTGACAGATCTGAACCCAGCCCAGGCCTGCTAAACAACAATGACAACAACACCAAAAAATAGCCAGGTGTTGTGGTAGATGCCTGTAGTCCCAGCTATTTGGCAGGCCGAGGCAAGAGAATTGCTTAAGCCCAAGAGTTTGAGGTTGCTGTGAGCTCTGACATTACAGCACTATATTGGGGGTGATATATTGAGACTCTGTCTCAAAAAAAAAGAAAAAATGCCAGTCTCCACAATGGGTATCTGCTTTGCCTATTTACTAGGCAAGAAACGACCCAGTCAATATATCTTTGTAGTTCTTTGTCATAGCCTCTTCTATGACCATTTTTTCCTCAGAGTGCTCAAAGACCCAGCAGGGCTTTTTGTAAGCTGT